TGGCCTTGGACACTTCCAGGGATCCAGGGGCAGCCACAGCTTCTCTGGGCAACCTGTGCCAGGGCCTCACCACCCTCACAGGGAACAATTCCTTCCCAATATCCCATCTAACCCTGCCCTCTGGCAGTGGGAAGCCATTTCCTGTGTCCTGTCCCTCCACCCCTTGTCCCCAGTCCCTCTCCAGCTCTCCTGGAGCCCCTTCAGGCCCTGGAAGGGGCTCTCAGGTCTCCCTGGAGCCTTCTCTTCTCCAGGTGAACCCCCCCAGCTCTCCCAGCCTGGCTCCAGAGCAGAGGGGCTCCAGCCCTGGGAGCATCTCCGGACTCACTCCAGCAGCTCCACGTCCTTCTTATGCTGGGACCCCCGAGCTGGACAGACCACTGCAGGTGGGGCCTCAGAAGAGCAGATACATATATAGATATAGATATATACAGGAAAGAAACTCTATTTCTGTCTTGGAGTGAGTATTTTCTCCTCATCTGCAGTGCCAGGTTAACCCAGCTGCAGGGGCACCTTTCTGTGACAGCACAATTTCAATGGGGGGCATAAATCAAGATTTTTGTACTTGTCTCACTGTTTCAATCCACTTCCCCACAAAATGTAGACAAGTGGAAGACAAAGGCAGTGGGGACAGAGGTGTGTCCCTGAGCACAGCAGCTGCTGGGGCAGAGCTGTTGGCTCACTGCTTTTGAACACCCCAACTTACGGACCTCATGAAGAGGTGATGGGAGTAACTCAGGAGGTCACATGCTAAAGGGAATACTGAGTACAAATACCAATTGCTGCTAATTAATGCAGGCTGAGGACAGCTGTTGGTAGGCTCCTGAGAGAAATATCACAGAAAGGCACTTTCACAACCTCATTTCTTGTAAGGTAGAAACAGAGCTCTCGGCAGGGCCTGACAAGGAAAAGAGATCCCTTTCCTGTAAAATAACATTATTGTCTCAGAGAAATGTTAGAAAATCCATATCCTGCAGTTTGACTCGGCTCACACAGGGCTTTTAAGCCCCATAACCCACAAGTGTTCTATAAAGAAAGTCCCTATCACCAACTGCACGTTCTGAAGTGGAGCAGAGCAGGAAAACCTGGGCTGTGGGAAGGTCACCCAGCAGGACACGGTAGCACACAGGGAACTGGGGGCTGAGACAGCCACAAAAAACGTGTCTAATATGTGTCTAAACTCTAAAAATACAGCCATGAGTTGAGGGGGAATACAAAACACAGCAGTCCCTGAGGAGCAGCCGCCTCATCCCCCAGTCCTGGGAGCTCTGTCCAGCCAGAGCTGCTGCTCCTCCAGCCTGGACCTCAACTCCTAGAGTGCTGGATCCACCACTCTAGGGAGTTAAGAACCACCAGAAATACCAAAGAAGGGATGTCCCATCCCTGGAAGTGTCCAAGGCCAGGCTGGACAGGGCTTGGAGCAACCTGGGACAGTGGAAGGTGTCCCTGCCCATGGTAGGGGTGGCACTGGATGGGCTTTAAGGTCCCTTCTGACCCAAACCATTTTGGGATTCTGGGATCCCTAAACAAACCAGGTCTCCAACACAAAATCCCTTGTCTTCCTGCTAAACCACAAACACCAAACAAGCAGTTTGAAGAAGCGGGTAAAAATACAAATAATGAGCATAAAGAACACGATAAAAGTAGCATCCAACAAAGGACCAAAGCTCAGGTGCCCAAAATGAACTGGCAATGACAGAAATAATAAAAATAGAGTTTCTGTCACTTTTATTTACAGTACAGGGATCATTCAACCTCCATGCATTTAGAAAGACCTTCAATTTATTTCTTGTTAAGAAAAAGCTCTCAAAACAAAGCACTCACATCAATTAATAATAAGCACTTCGAAAAATATTGTGGATAAGAGGGGCAGGAAGAGTAGGGATGACTTGGGTATGTTCATGTAACTGTGAGTAAAAAATGGCCTTTTCCCAAAGTACAAAAGCAGGTACAAAGGCAAAGGTCAGGAGATAGGGGAAGAAGAATCACCTGTGCCAGGACCTGCCAAGCTCTCCCAGTGTCACTTGTCCCAGTGCTTGCTCACCTAGCAGAGGTGACATTCATGTGAGGTGCCAAAGCCCACCAGGGCTCCAGCTCTGCCAGGGGAAGCAATGGAGGGGAGAAAACAACTTCTCCAACCCTCCATTCCCCAGGGGCTGGAACTTCAGGCACCACCAAAACCTGAAATCTGCAACTTCAACAACCACTAACCAAGAATTCCACGTATTGTGGTGCTGTAAGATGGTCACAACCCACGGAAGGAGCATCCTCTGGGACAAGGCTAAACTACAAGCTGCTAAAAATACGAAGTGAAGGAATGGAGGGAGGGGGAAAATCTCAGGCTTAAAATGATCAGGAAAAAGGCAGAATATTGAAGATGTGCTGGTTAAACAGAGAACAGCAGCAGCTTTGAATAAGGTCCTGCAAATATTTACAGCTAAATATTACCTCTGGCTGGACACAGGGCAGAGGTTGAAAGTGCAAATGTGATTCACTCAGCACAGTAAACATGAGCAAGTGAGGATTTTCTCCATATCTACACTGCATTCACAGGACCCTGAGGTCAAAACAACCCTGTGAGCACAAATCCAAGGCATTATAAATACAGGTTCAGTAGCTTCACATTGTCTTTCATCACACCAAACCACTGTGCTGCAAGATGGGAGTTTTCCTGTTTATCACCCTCGAAATCTCTTTTCCATAGTGGACTGTTCAGTTTTGCTATTACTGTCACTGAGCTATGTGAGAGAACATGTTCTAAATTGTGAATTAATAGGACAATTGGTGAATTAGGACTATTAGTGAATAGTGAATGAACTATGGGAGGAACACTGTGCAGGGTGATGTGTAAAACCAACACTGAACAGTGTCCATGAGCACAACAACCTCCAACGGGGGAAAGGTTCCCTTCACTGTAAATCAACGAGACACAAAACAACAGCAAATGAGATGTGCCAGGTAACTTGTGTCACAGGTGGGGACACTGAATTACAGCCTGTCGGCTCTGAGACACCCTGGGGATTGCAGACAGCACAGAGATGGCACAGGGTGACTCCCAGCACACTCCTGGCTCCGGGGGGTCGGAGCAGCTGCTGCCTGAGCTGCACTGATCAGCACAGACAGGGCTCCCACACTGCAGGCACAGAGCACTGCTGGCCAAGGTGGGGGAAGGAAACACATCCACACAGGAGGGGAAAAAAATAGGAAGTGAAAACTGCAGAAATTCAAAACTGACAGGCTGGGAGAGCTGGGGGAGTTCACCTGGAGGAGAGAAGGCTCCAGGGAGACCTGAGAGCCCCTTCCAGGGCCTAAAGGGGCTCCAGGAGAGCTGGAAAGGGACTTGGGACAAGGGATGGAGGGACAGGACAAGGGGCAATGGCTTCCCTCTGCCAGAGGGTAGGGAGAGATGGGATATTGGGAAGGAATTCCTGGCTGGGAGGGTGGGGAGGCCCTGGCACAGGTTGCCCAGAGAAGCTGTGGCTGCCCCATCCTGGAAGTGTCCAAGGCCAGGCTGGACGGGGCTTGGAGCAGCCTGGGCTAGTGGGAGGTGTCCCTGCTCATGGCAGGGGTGGAATGAGATGATCTTCAAGGTCCCTCCCAACAGAAACCAGTCTGGAATTCAATGAACATTAACAGTGGATAACCAAGGAGTCAAGCAGAGCCACAAGCACAGAGACACCAGAGACAAAACCACTGGTGAAGTCTATGCTTTTGTTGCTCTTTATGGCTTGAAAATAAATTTTGGAGCAAAATATTACCATTGTATTATATATGGTTTGATGACGTTTTTAAAAGAGTAAACCACAGGACTTATCTTTGTGCCCCTGTTCAAAGAATCCCTGGCTCTCGGGGAGTTCATTATCCCTCCCTTTTCTGAATGTTGCACAAAGAACAGCTCATCCAAACCCACTCCACACAACCCAGCCAGGTATTGACAGTGCTTTAAACTCCAAATAACCCACTGGGATGAACCCCAGACATCAGGTGGATCTGACTGTCCTGCAGCACAGACACATTCAGCCCCTCTCTCCTGCTGTTGGCATTCCAGGAGCAGGGAGCAGATGGCTTTTCCAGGCTGAAGCCAGGATCTAACACAGGGGAAAATTGTCACTGGGGGCTCTTCCCAGTAAGTGATCTTAGCCAAGACTGACCCTGAGAGGCACCACTGCTGTCCTGGAATAGTCACACCTTCCCCCATCCGAGGTCTGTCCCAGATGGTAATTCCCTCTCCAGCTTAGTTTGCCAATGAGGCAATTTGGAAAATCTGAAAATAACAAGCAAGACACAACTTCCAGACACTCCTGTGCTGACAGAAGGCAGGTCAAGCTTCTGTGAGGTGAGAGAACCTCCCAAAACACCTGATCTGATTGCCCTGTTTGGCTGCCAGTGAAGTAACATCCGACCTTCCCAACTCAGTGAATGCTGGAGGGAGTTGGGGAGGTGGAACTGCAGCTGCTTTACTCACTCATTTAAGAAGAAAACATATATATTAAGGTAATCCAGCTGTCTGGGCCCAGTGCCTGTAAGCAGAACAGCACCTTTGTGTCTGCTCTGCTGCAGCTCTGCTCCCTCTGATGGCAGGTTTGCTCTCAGGCTGAGCTTTTATTCCTGTGGACTGAGCCAGCATTCTGCTAAAATCATACTCTCTCACAATGCTGCATGCTTCAAAGAGCATGTTTTTACAAGAAACTGCCTTCATGCTCAGAAGTCTTGCTGAAAAAGAGGTTAATGCAGACTGAAAATCGTTGTGACATTCTGGACCTTTTAATTGGCTCCCAGCCCTGCTCTGGGGCTCGTATTAACAGGGCAGAGGAGCTGAGTGTGCTGCTTCCCTCTCCCTGACACACTGCCAGAGGAAGGGAAGCATTTGGGGCTTGTTCAAAGTACTGTGCAATCCATTTAAAAGGCTGAAACTCGGGGAATGTAAATGGGTAAGTGGGATAGAAGAGTAGAGTGCTTAGAAGTGGCAATAATGAGTATAAAGCACAGCCCAGGTGTTTTACCATCGCGCTGAGCGTCTCTTCCCAGTCCGGCCTCTCCCGGGGGTGGATGCTCCTCTGCAGCTCTGGCACAAAGTCATCTTCTTCTGGATGGACAGAGGACTTCATCATTCTGCAAAGGAGGACAGAAGGTTGGACACTCAGTGGCAATTCCTCAGGAATCTCACATCCAGCCTGTTGAGCTGCTCAGTTACATGACAATATAAAATGCTTTTGTACACCCAGAAATCTCAGTGTCTTCTGAGTTCCTCTGACTTCCTCATCACACAAGCAGGACAAGCGTGTAAATCTGGTGGAGAGAAATCTACACTTCCCAACCAACCAATGGATAATTTTGTTTAATCACTGCACAATTTGCAAGTCCTACAACACAGAAAATGCAGAGGATTTTCAGTCCAACTCAGGGAAATGGCTCCTATTGCCCAGCAAACACCAGGAGCCTTGGAAGAACAAACACACACATCTGATTCCCTCCTTGTCACTGAAGGCTTCCCTCCTTGTCACTGAAGGCTCTGCCTGAAATGGGGCAGCAGCTTCCAAATCTTAACCTAAATTCACACCCCATGGCCTGAGCCATAACCCCTCACAGCCCTTCCCCATCTCATCTGAAGGGTGAGCACCTCCCATCAGCCTCATGTGAGCACGGGAAACTTCTTCAGGTAAGGGGCCAATTTTCAAATACCCTGTGAAGGATATTTCAAGCCTGCTCAGAGATCAGAGGCTCAAAAATCAAAATTGAGAAAGAATTCATGAAAGCTCCTCAGCCCCTCCACATGACAGCACACACACTGTCTCTCTGTCTGCCTCTCTCTCCTTATATATATATATTGCACTTTCTGCTTATATAAATGTGCCTTTGCAGAGATTATGGCTCAGACCTGAGGCACCAAAGCCCTGCTCGAAGCCTGGTGTTGCCCATCCTGGTTTCATTAAACCTGATATTCAGGCAGACTTTTATTGCATTAATAGATCCCCACTTATTTACTTCGGATATAACCATGCTGATAACCAGCTGTGCAAACCCATGGGCAGAAGAGCAGGGCTGGGTTCTAACTCTGCTGATTTACAGAGCACTCGACTGCTGAAAGCCAGTTCATAAAACTCCTTTGCTTCAGATCCAAGACTTGAAGTTCTGAAACCCCAACGTGCAGCTTGACACTGGGCCAAAGCAGTTAACTCTCCTTTGTGCTCTACAGGAGGGTTAAGGATGGAGTAATTAACACTCCCAGTAACCCAGGGCTGGGTTACAGAATTATATCCCACTGAATTTTACAGCTTTGTGATCACATTCCTGCTCCAATAAAAAACAGCCCAGGGAAGATGGGTCTCCAAGCCCAAACTCACAGCCCTGAGGGTGATGCTGCTCCCGGGGTTTGTGTGGCCTCCCCACCACAACCATCCCCTGCCCCTCCAGAGGCACAAAAAACTCCCCCATGGTGAGAGCTGGGCAGAGCTGAACAAAATTTGCACAGAAACACCATGATCTGGAACACAGGGGTGCAGTGACAGCTCAGACTGGAGATCTGCACCTTTGCAATGTGCCTTCAAATAATCCGGGGGTTGAAAACCTGAGCATTTGTTGCTCAGAGTGGTGGCCCCTCCATTTCTCCTTCTTTGTGTATCAAGAGGAGGAGATCTGGCCTGGTTCTTACGCCCTCAGTAGTTTACCACTTATTTTAACTCAAAGCAGAAGGTGAAAGCTGCTGGTTGCAGAGGAAACCAGGTTGTGCCACTCCAAAACAAGAGATAAACAAACAAACAAACAACATTAATTTATAATAATTTTAAATTTGATTTTAAAAATCCTTATTTTTTTAAATTAACCTCATGATTTTGAAAAGGCTCAGTAAGGCTTCCCTGAGGATTTCCAGATGTTTGGATTTGGCCATATTGCAGCTGTATTAAAGATTCTAAACAAGTTATCCCACAGCAATTCCACTGGGATGGAAGGTAAGGGAGGGTGATGTGATCAGGGCCCCCCTTCCACAGCACAGTTCAAACAATCAGCTTATCAGATGCTGTCTCAGTTTAAAGACTGGCAAATAATGAGATTGCATTTACATCTTTATCAGCACTTTCTAGAGTACAAATGGATTCACTCCACAGTCTCTCAGGCTTCTGGCAATTCCCCCTGGATTTCTCCTCAGGAATGTGCTGTTGGCTGTGCTGGTGAGTGCAGAGGATAATATGTCCTATTTTCCAATAATCTTGGGAATCGGGTCCTCATTCCCGGCTGTCCCCTCATCCTGCAGAACATGGATGTCACAGCACCCAGTCCTTTTTACCAATTACAATCAATTTACTCACATTATTTCTTTAACCTGTTTATGTCTCTAAAACTCCATGATAAACTCTTCCCAAACCCTTCCCACTGAGATCCTGGAATAGTCCCATTATTCTTCCTATGGAAGGTGTTCTGGACTTTTACTGGAAATAAACTGCACCTTTAAAACAGTGAATTCTTTGAGCATTTGCCAAAATATTCAGCTACTGCTGGACATTCAATACTTCATCACATCACAGAAATATTGGAAATGATCCTGCAGATTCTCTCCCTGCTGCAGTTCTAAGCACTTGACACCCATCTGTGCCCCCTGATTAATGTTTAATGGTAACTATTTCATGCCAGGCCATCTGAGACAGAGCCCAAGCACGGCTGCAGATGCTGCAGGTAATATCAGTCCTCTATGGATTAAGTCTGGTGGCTTTTCCCTCCCCAGCAGTGACCTGAAGGAAGGAAAATAACCTGTGTGCACTTGCAGCAGTGAAACAGGGGCAGGAAAAGGGCCAGAAAGGGAGAAGAGGAGGAGAAAAAGCAGCTTCTCAACACACTCTGCTTTTCACACTGTTTCCCCTGGGCATGTAAAGCTCAGAACAAGAGCTGGGGAAGTTTTCCTACCACTGGGAAAATCTTGCCCTCATCCCAGGCCAAGCTTGGAATATTGTACAGAGGCATAACCATATTCACACATCTTTATCCATTACATATGTTTGGCATTATTTTAATTTTCAAAGCAAATAAACAGCACAACATCCACGTGTCTGATTCACCACACATGTCAAGTGTAACAAGACTAATTCTCTTGTTTCTGCCATGGATTCTCTTCCATGGAAAGGGAAAACATGAAGGAGCACTTCCACAAAACACTGACACAAGGACCTTGTCAGCATTAAAGGCCAACCAGGCTGAAGAAGCTGCTCTGTAACAGCCACCTTTGGGTATTCCAGGGGAGTTGGAGATGAGTGAGAAGTCAGGATGAAAGGTAACCCTGTCCATCAGAACACAAACACCAGTTCAGTTAAAATACCACTTCTTTCAGCACTCAGCAGCTCTGCCCTTCCCATGAAATGTGAGATTAATAAAGGTTCTGGCTGCTTGGAGGCCATTAAGCAATGTCTCCGCAGATGAATGAACCTTCCTCATTTTAAATTGAGAACCAAATGTACCAGAACAAATGTTTGCAGCACATTTCACACCAGGCCCAGCCCCTCTCACACCCCCCTTTGAAGTTCTCTGGGAGGTCAAGTTGATTAATTTAGTCAGAACTCCTACATTTGTACGTGACACAACTGTATCAAGCAAACATCTGATGTCCCTTTCCACCATCTCAAATCCAATTTGCTGGTCCCATCATTTATTTCCATGTTTATTTATGAGGAATTGAAACCCTTGGGTGCCTTATGGAGCCCTGCCTGCACACCTTGAGTGTGTATCACAAGGCAGGAAACACCTACCAGTGATCAGCACAGGAGCTTTAGATTAAACAAATTTTATCTTAAATGAAAACTTTATATCACGTAAATGAATATTCACCTAGATGTCCATAAGCTCCACAGTTGTCCATAACTGTTGTACAGATGCTCACAGACACTACAATTACTGCTTGTTTATAATACTGTAAACATTAAATACTACTTCCAGTAGACAAGGACTTTCCCTGTGGCTTTGAAGGAGTCCCACATCCACAATCTGATGTATTTCCACACTTATGTCTGAACAAGAGAGAAAGAATCACAAAAAGTGGGTTTGTGGAAAGAGCTCCTCAATTTTAACAGGGAGGAGGAAAGATGGAACTTTTTAAAACATTGTGGGATTCCTCCAGAAGCTTTTGTTCCCCTTAGTCGGGTTCCCTGGCCCACAGCAGCAGGAATAACACAATTGTCATGGATTTGGTGTCATGACACACCAATTAAAGATCCCCTCTGGGAGGGTGGTGACAAATCACTCCCTGAGGTGCCCCGTGGTTTGAGAGCCTCCTATCAGAGTTAATTGTGTGCCTGACACATCTCCCTTCTGCACTGGCTCTGTACTCCCTAAATTAAATGCCAAATGTGATTTTAAGTCGTGCTCCTCATGGGACATCAGGGATTGCAGTTTCCTCACTGCTTCTGCCACCAATGGTGTTTCTTTCTGACCTCAATTTAAGGGGTGAGAGCTGAGGAAAACTGATTTATTAGTTTATTTATTATTTCTATCACACTCTTGTTGTGCCTGGAGATTGCTCTGGCGATGTGAGAGCACAGCTCTGCCCCACAGAACCAACAATTCAGGAGGATTTAGAGCCCCACAGAAAGTGATGTGTTCCCAGATATATAAATTTTACCCAAAAAGCCACGATTTAATTAAGGCCTGTGCTGATACCACTCTAGACTGAAAACCAAACACTATCTGATAAAAACCAGTGTTTATGTTGCTCAAATAATTTGCACAAAAGGCCAAAACAACCCAGCCCAGCCTGAGTGGAGAATCCCATCCTTCACAATGTAATAAATATTCAACCCCTATCAATCACAGCTCAGAACTGCTGAGTGAAACAACAGAAAAACAGTGAAACAATAGAAAAATACCTTGAAAATTCTGGTTTAGAGGGTTTAAAATGTACTGATCAAGCTGTAAAGCATCATACAATGTATGACAACAGAATTAAGATAACTCTTCATGTGTCACGAACTGCCCCTTTTCATCCCAAGGAAATAAGAACTGAGATTTGACCCAAAGCTTGGGCAAGAAGTTGGAATCACACGAGAATCACTGATACATCTTCATTTCTGACCTCAAACTCACACCACAGACACACACACACAACCAGGGAATGCCAGGAGGGAGATGGG